ACTTCCGCCTTTTTTTTATGAAGCTCTCTCGCTGTCTTCGCTGCTGCACATTATCGTTTCTGATGTTTGCACACAAATCATTTTACGATGTCCTTTATTATTATTGCGCATGTTTTGCTCAATGCGCCTTTTTGCCGGGAGGCGCTGTTGTCACCTTGAGTTAGACGCCATTTAACAAATGCAGCGTTTAGCGCCTAGCGTTTTTTTTTATTAAAGTTTGGATTTTCTCCTCATCTTACCACTGGCTTTGTTTATTTCAGTTGCGTCTCAATTTAAATGCGGAAAACGCTTCCCAAAAAGTCTAAGAATTACGTACATGAAATTTATACAGTAAAAGCCTCAACACAGGATCCGGTGTTCTAATTTCTTGGTTCTTTCGGCTGCGCGTATATATATCCAATTATGGTTTCTGGGTTTTAAAATAGCGTTCTTTAATTTTGTATACCTTGTGAATTGGTTCTCTGCCGAGCAGTTCTTTTTTTTGAGATCAAGGGCTAACCGAAAAGTGGATAATTTGGAGATGGCAAAAACGGCAGCCTTCGTGATCATGCCCTATGACCTTTTTGACCTTTCTGTACGAATTCAATTTTGTATTTTCTTCTTCGTTACTCATATTATGCAATGAGTGGTGGCAGCTGAAGAGCTCTCCCGAAATTTTACGGATCCAATAAACCCTGCTGTTTTTGTCATCTTCAAATTTTCGCCTGGGAAAAGATGCTTTAAAAGTGGATAAGTTTGACAAGTGCCGAAAGATATAGTTTCCAAAATTGTCACAAAAGGACAGCTAGTATGAAAGCTTCTGCACGTACCGCAGTCAGCCGAGCACAGACTCAGTCGTATTAGTTGTTGAGGTACTTTACAGTTTTGACTGTTTTATCACCTCAGTCGGTTTCGGTCAGTTCAGGGTCTTTTTAGGCCGTGTGCTTCGACGCCGAAAACGCAAATGCACTCCAGAACGGTAGGGTCTGTGCATTTAAGGTGCAGTACTTTATCCACTTGTCTTAGTACCAACTGATACTCTCTTTTTTACTTTGATGGCACTCACAACAAGCTCTCTTTCAGGGCAAGTTATTTATTAACCGAAAATAATTCTGCTGGTGTTGGTCACGAGCAAAATGTTCAGACTTTGTTTGCGTGGATCTTCGCCTTAATTTTACAGCAAGATGGCGTTCCAATTCTTGGTAATAATTGACCATTCTTCTCTTAGCTCCGACCGAGGCATAGTGTCAGCTACCTTCGCAGTCAAAGCAACCACCTAGTTGATTGAATCACAATGACCAGTTCTGCTCTTAATCTTCCTGCCATCCCTAACACTGAAGAGACAGCTGGACTGAACTATTCTACCAGTCCCAACGAAAATATTCTGCCAGGTTCAAACGATGTTGGTGCGCCACCCAACTCCCAGTCGCCTGCTAGCCTAGGACCCATTAAACGCAAAAGAGGTCG